TCGATGATTTCAAATAGCCTAGGAGATAAATAATCACATTGGACATTTTTTGAAACAGGTTTTGATGATTTCATTAGTAACTTCTTTTACCATATGAATTAGAGTCATTTTTACAGCAACTGGTGCCATTAGTGATCCTCATTTAATTGTTCTACTGTATGACTTTCAAACAGAACCCATTCCCCAGTTAAACACAAAGCCATAGTAGCTCATTATTTACATCTAAATTTCGAAAGTCAAATGTGTCGTTTCATGGAAATTAGCATGGTCGCTCAGGGTTAAAAACGTATTAAATAAATGGTGTAAAAATGATCAGATGGTTTTCATAGTATTTTATGCTTTCAATAGTTGCCTGTTTATTTCAACAACAAGAGTTTAAATAGTGCAATAACGAGCTTCAGAAAGAGCCGGAGCAACAAGTGCATAAACAAAGAAATCATGACAATTGGTCTCAGAAATCTTCATAGGCCAAATGCAACTCATGCCACTCCAATTAAAACAAACCGTCTGGTTCACCGTCTTTCCCACTGTTGGCTCAGTAGGATGCTTAAGCCATCCAGCTCCTTCTGATCCACAACGTGGAGAAGAAACCGAATAGTTGGCAAGACGAGTGCCTGCAGCACCCTCAAACCGTACCCACGTGGGCGTTTTGCTAAAATATGAGTTATCACTCTCAGCTCCAAGATTTGTATTAGTTGTGCGACGAGTGCCATCCGTTATTGACGTATAATTCGAACATTGAGGCGGAAGAAAGCTCGGCATTGATGTTGTTGCTAGAATGCAATAAAATGCACAGATGTAATCAAATAGCTAACATCGGTTTGGTTGTCAAATATCGAAAAATTCAAACTCCCACTGTGGGTTGTGTGCATGTGTTTCGTGTTATAATGTACTCAACTCGAGTTCTAAAAAGTCTTGACACTTGAATTTCCAAGATTTTCTATGTTCTTTTTAGTGATAACAAATGAGATATCATTGTACAACAGCGATACAAATAAGAAGCGAAAAAAACATATTTTAAAAATTTTCTTGCTGGCAATCCAATTTTTCCTGTAAAAAAGAGGTTTGACTAAAATCTTTGTGAACCTTTCAAAAGCATTTTCTTCAATGAGACTGTTTAAAAGCTTCCGTGTCGAGTTATGATTAAACGCCGAACCAGCCACAAAATTACGAAATTCAATCATTTCTCCAATGATCAAGAAGCTTCATAAACCTTTTTTTCTCACAATTTATGATTTTTCGGTGTTACTTCATAAATGAAGAGTTCCTCGAACTTTGTTTTTGGGATTTATTAATTGCGTCAAGATTTAAATGTACCAATATTGTACATAGGGATATATCAACAACAGTAAGTCCTGTCAGCTGTTGCATTCTAGAACAAATTTTAAAAAACCTCACTTGATGTTTCTTTAGTCGTTGATAATGTTGTTGTTATTGTAATTGTTGGTTCCGGCACTGAAATTAGAAAAAATACAACATTTTCTTCAGCGATCATTTGCAATCATTATTGCACTTCAGTTCGAATATTTTCAGTGCAATGAATTATTTTTGGCTGGATGTGAAGAAAATTTGGATTTTTTAGATGTCTAACAAGTTGTTTTTCATATAAGCTAAGTAAGTTTATTCAAAGAAGGCATTTACTCAGAAATACTTTTAAGAAACTATTCGAAATACTTACCATTCCATATGCAGTTTTGCTGTACTTGTGACCAAATTAAGGTGGCCGGACAATGTTTTAGATAGCCAATACCATGCGCACAATGCCAAAATGTGTTATAATCATCGGGATTTGCGAACATGCCATCATTTATGCATTGAAACGCTCCAATGATAAGCTTTATAGATGAAATCAAAATATATAGAATAACTCCACTATGCATTTTCCTCATGCCTCTTTTCTTCTTTCAACAAGTGCAAATGAATTGAAACAAATATGTCCTATCGTTTTCTATTAAATTGTTTCTCGGCTTAAGAACCGGTAATTGAATCTTTGCGCACAGCACTTATTTTTTCTTTGAAGTAATCCTAGAAATATTCTACCTGTTGTTTTTGTCCTTAATATTCTTTCATTTATTTCAGAAATAACAAAAACAAATTGCATATAAACGGACAGAAATATCTGCATGACATAAATCATTTTTCGAGAAGAGCAAAATTTTGTTCTTGACAAAAGATTGGACGCTTCCACGCCGTTCCCTCCTACTTTTTTTGATATCCTATTTGTTCTATTCTTTGCTGAAACCAACATACTCTCCTGGACAAAAATAATCTTAAGCCAAGATAGAGTCATCGACATAGTTCACCACCGGATGGTTTGCCAATCGATGAAATCGTCCTATTATGCGATGAGCTTTGGACGCAAGGGGTGTGGGTGCGGATGTGGGTGTGGTTGTGGTTGTTGTGACTAGTTCCACATTCCACACCCACCCGAATTCTGAAGGTATATATATATGAATCTTGAGTGACGATTCAATTATTAACTATTCTTTACAAAATGCATGTTGAAATCAACATTGGAAAACAAGCACGTTCAAGATCATAGTCAGTCGATCATGCATGCGATAATCAATGAGACACTTCGTACTAGGAGATGTTTCTGTAGACTGAAAATGTCTTGATTGTACTGCTCTCTATAATTTTCTTTGAAGTGGTTCTTAACAGAACAGCATGAACATGTCGATGCCTCTTATGAGCTTGTGATATTACGTTTTTTTTCCAAATGTCAATTGTATTACGTAAACATATTCGTTATTTAATCACTATTAAAAAGTGTATTGGTGCATAATTGTGGGAAAGAAACGTCTTTTCATGTCACTGATAGTGCGCCAAATAAGTATCTGTTATTCTTCATTCAAAGAAATATGAATAGATTTCATTCAATGATAGATTTCTTTTTCTAATGTGTAAAATATTTATTGTTCGTAAATATGAAATTAATGACATTAATTAATATTTCAAAATTTACAAACAAAACGACAAGTATAATCCTTATGGAATCATAGGTAAAACATGGTAAAATTGCTTTAGTCTTCGATAGAAACCGTAATAACCTTTCAAAAGAGAAGAACAAATACGAGAAACTTGTCACTAAGAGTTTTAAATATCTTGTTCTATGCTTTAACAACCCACAAAATTTGATAAACCGAAAACTTAAAAATTTTTTGTAAGTCTAAATAAGAATATTGAATAGATTAGTTTATGTGACGGTATTAAATTGTGCCAAGTTTAAATGATCTCGGTGTTTTTTTTTTGACATGTACACAAATTTCAATTAAAGTTTCGTTTGAAAATTAAGTATATTTAAGGTTATAGTGAACCTTGCTCCTGTAGGTATCACATACGATAGAGATGTTTGTATTGTTAGTTAATAAGATTAGACATATTTTCGTCAAACTAACAAGTTTAAAATATAAACTGTCTTTGATGCACACAGACCGAGATATTCCAATTTTAATTCATATGTAAGATGCTCTCAATTAAAAATTTCAGCAGATTTATTATTTGTGGTTCTTGGATAGTGCATATCAATTAGCATAAAAAAGATTTTCACAAAAATTAGAGTTTTGGGTCCATTTTCTCTTATATTTGAAAACGACGGTATCTTGGATATTTTTTTTATAAAATGTCTTTTATTTTGATTTGAAACATATTTTTTTTGTATGCAACTCGATGACTTCTATCTAACTATTACGAACAATAAATCGGTTGCAATTTTCAATTACGAGCACCTCACATCTATCATAAAATTCAAAATCTCGGTCATATATTTTCAAGGACACCGTTAGATAAGGTCGTAAATCCGCCATTTCCTAGATTGCACTTTCAATTGCTTCGAAGACTAAGTAATCTTATAGGTCTACTACTTTTGGATGTCTCGGTTAATAGCTCTGGCACCTGTAATTATTTTTTTTATAAGTGCAATATGGAAAGTAATAGTGTAGCTCGACGTAGTTCTTCATGCACTACAAAATGACGTTGTATTCATATGTATTTTTAACTTTTCTCTTAGATTGTACAAAGTCAAATAAGTACGATATCGTATTCATTGAACCCTGGGCAATCGACGGGGGAAGTTAAAAAGAAACATGCATACAATGCCATTTTGCAGTACATGAAGAGCTGCGTCGATCTACGCTATTACTATTCATATTGAGTTTATAAAAGAAAAATTACAGATATCATAGCTATTAACTGAAACACCTCAAAGTGGTAGACCCCTAAGATAACTTAGTCTTTGAAATTTGTTTTTTTTTGCATTCAATAAACAACAAAATAAGTGGGTAAAATTTCGTGTTCTGTCTTTATAACCTATTGAAGGTAAAATCTAGGAGAATGGCAAATTGATGACCTTATCTGGCGGTGTCCTTTATTAGTATGGTGATGAATGCTTTAATTTGATTCGAATATGTCTTATCTTTTTAGCTAACCGCACATATGCTTTCATCGTTAGGAACAGTTAATGAAATAGACTGATAATATCAGTCAATCAGATTTAATTGTTTTTCTTGAAACGCACCAGTTCAAAGTCTAACCTTGAGATATATGTTATGAAAATGAATATTAAGAAAACAAGAACAGACAGACAAAAAAAGTTAACTAATATGATTATTTCCAGTTTATCAGTTTTGAATGAGATTATAAATCCATTCGATGATACTATAAAAGTGTATTACTACTTCATAAGATTGGTGTTTTGGTTTTTTCTCCTACTTTGTGTATGCATTTACATTTAACAATCATATTTTACTTGACAAACAAGTTTGATTTTTTTCTATCATGTTGTAAAACTCTGCGATTATTCAGATAAGCACATATATGACCATATATATATATTGAATGCCAATAAAATGAAACGTCCTTCACATTGATCGTTTTGAGTGTCAAGCAATACTAGTAAATCGTTTTATAGCTCCAGTTGTTAGCTTGTGTTATTGATAAAAATAAACATAGTAAATAATGTTTGTTGTTTAAAAATAATTATTTAGAGTTTAATCATTTAGATGAAACAAGAAACTGATTTCGATATTGATGAAATGAAGTATCGTGATCATACACATGAATCGTTTACATCCGATGCTGAATTACGGGTAATAAAATTTTTCTTTTTTCTTTTTTTTTTTAAGAAAAACAATGTTGATTTATTCAGAAACGATATATCAGAACAAAACGTGAACCTGGCCATCGGTAAAAAACAATTTAAATTATAAAAAGAATTTTTATTCGATTTTTTTAAAATTTTTAGTATATTTGTTAATCGAAGTTTACAATTAGATCGAATAAAATTTTATGGTTTCGATATGGATTATACATTAGCATTATATAAATCACCGGAATTTGAAGAATTAACATTTCAACAAGTCATTGAATCATTGATTGAACTTGGTTATCCTGAACAAATTCGAAACTTTGTTTATGATCGAACATTTCCATTACGGTAGTAACTTAATCATATTCATTATTCTTTTTTAAATATTTTCTTTTTTCTCTCATTAATAGGGGTCTTTGGTATGATAAATTATATGGAAATATACTGAAAGTTGATGCACATGGAAATATTCTTACGGTTGTACATGGTTTTAAATTTCTTTCTGGGTAAAAATTTTTCTTTTCATTAATTTTTATCCTTACGATTTCATTTTAGACATGAAGTTCGTCAATTTTATCCGAATAAATATATAACTGGTGATGATCGTATTTATGTTTATTACACACTTTTTAATCTACCAGGTACTATAAAATAGAGAAAAAGCGAGAATCATAAAAAAAATTGCTTTTATTGTTAACTCTGATGGCATTGTATGTGAAGCATAACAAAATTCTTATGGGTGTAGAATCGATTTATTTTTTTTTTTGAGAAAGCGGTCGAATCCGGTCTAATTGCAAAGAACTTCGAACCGAACCTTTCTTATCTATAATTTCTTCCATTCATCAATCGGAGTTCTACCAATCTCATAGATCATGACAGACAGCAAGATGTCTGTTATGATCTGTGAATGAAGCAGGGTTGTCGATTGTTTTTAGGAGTGAGGGAGGGGGGGGGGGGGGGATAAAAATTTGGCAGAAAGTCAATTTTTTTACAATTTTTAGTTCATCGAGAAATCTTTTAAGAGCAACAAACAAGATCAAGTTCGTCAAAAAGCAAAGACACTTCCAAATATATTTAAACTTTCAAAAACTGAAGACATTTTAAGGTGCGAGCAATTCAAACTTCAAGTAATTTTTTTTGGCTTTTTCTTACATCATTTGATAGAGTGTGAACCGCTGATCACGAAAAACTTGAAGACGTCGTTTTTTCGAAAAAAAACTATTTCAAGATATGCAAAATTTTCTGCTATATTCTTGTTTCCAGCTTCTAAAGATATATTTTTCAGATTCAGCATCAAAAACTGAGTGCAGACAAGTTATTAGACCGACCCAGATCTCAAAAAAAGATTTTTGATGATGGCGCTTCGAATCGCACCGAGTGAATATGCATAGGTCGATTTTGTAAGCCTATCTAGATTTTTAAGTAAGAGATGAAGTCAAATATTTTATCTCATTTAACTCATCATACCACCAGTCACAAAAGAACGCATCGCGTTTATTTTTCTTTTCTTTTCTTTGTTGAGAGAAACTGTTTTTCTGAATTTTGGGCTAAATAGATAGAATTTGACTCGTATTTCTTCATTTTCTTCATAAAAACTAAGCCTTCGTGCAATAACCTTATCATATTCGGAAGCACCGCGAAAAACTGAATCGATTAATGTATGTTTCGAAAAATCTCGTTACCTTTAATTTTTTGGTGAAAATTTCATCCAGGTCTTCTCCGAAAACTAAAAAGCTGAAGTCAATGGAAAAGGTTAAATCATATATCAATCGATTCAGTTTTTCGTATTGATTTCGAATATGATAAGATTATTGCACGAAAGCTTAGTTTTTATGAAGAAAATGGAGAAATACGAGTCAAATTCTATCTATTTAGCCCAAAATTCAGAAAAACAGGTTTTTCTCAACCAAGAAAAGAAAAGAAAAAAAACGCGATGCTTTCTTTGTGACTGGTGGTATGATGAGATAAATGAGATAAAATATTTGACTTCATCTCTTACGTAAAAAAACTAGATAGGCTTACAAAATCGGCCTTTACGCATTGCACTCGGCGCGATTCGAAGCACCATCATCAAAAAATTCTTTAGATTGGACTCGATCTAACAACTTGTCTGTACTCAGTTTTTTATGCTGAATTTGAAAAAAATATCTTTACAAGCTGGAAAAAAGAAGGAAGCAGAAAAATTTGCACATTTTGAAAAAGAGGTGTTTTTTGGTATTTTTCGACCCGGAAGAAGCATTTTCTGGCGCTAAAAAGTAGTTTTTCGTTATCACCAGCTCACACTCTATCAAAATGATGTAAAAGAAAGGTGAAAAAAAAATGTTGCTTGAAATTCGCATTGCCAGCACTTTATATATAACATATTTATTGTTCACTATGGCGATGACGAATGAGTTCGGTGAAATATAAATTATTTTGAATAAAATAAGTTCAATTCACTTTTACACGTCGTATATTGGACACAGATGGAATCACAACCCGACAATGAGCAGTAAAGCAGACCGAAATTCACCAAAAATTTTAGGCAAAGAGCACATGAGCTTTCTGCCAAAGAAAAGTACTCTCAAGTTGATTTTCTGCGGAAATTTTGCAGAAAATATATTCTTAATGCTATCTATCTATTTTTGCCAGAAAGAGGGATAATATGACTCAACTGTTCGCATTGCTACCACTAATCAATAAGTATGCATGCATCGCGGAGAGGAAATTTTGAGAAATTCATCTTCTTAAATTTTGTTTATATATAGGTTGTACGAAAGTGAGAAAAAATATTTTTCAGCAGAAAAACGTAGAAATACAGCGGAAAAAAATTGACAGAAAGGATCCGAATTTAGCGGGGGGAAATCCCCCCATCCTCCCTCCCTAATCGGCAAGCCTGGAATGAAGAGATACAAATTTCTCGCTATTATACTTCACTACTGATTTTCAATCATGCTTTACAAAAAAAGATTTGTTTCTATTTAGAAATTTATCTTGTTGCTTGTTTAATTGATTATTTTTCTACTGCGGCGACTTACGTCGAGTACGTAATATGAATGGGCTTTTTGAAGATTTATTTGATTGATTTTTTGCTAGAGATCGAACAGGTGTTAAATTTGGAGAAAATATTCTTTCATTTCGTGCAATTTTTAATGATGTTCGAAATTCAGTTGACCGTGTTCATTATGCAGTAAGGATTGTTTTTTTTTAATTTGAAAAAAAAACTTTTTTTTTAAGACTAAACTTAAAGAAAGGGTTTGTGAAAATATTGAAAAATATGTTCACAAGGATGAACAATTACCAATATTATTAGATCGGTAAATTTATTTATAAATTGAATAAAAAAAAACAAAAACGATAACAAAAATCTTTTGTAGTATTCGTTCTCATGGTGCAAAAACATTTTTATTAACAAATAGTGAATATTGGTATACTGATAAATTAATGGCATATTTATTAACAACTGATAATGATAATAATAATCCAAAACGTGATTGGAAATCATATTTTAGTTATATTGTTGTTGATGCTCAAAAACCATTATTTTTTGCTGAAGGTACAACATTAAGAATAATTGATCCAAATACTGGAAGTATGAAATTGGGTTCCTATTCTGGGCAATTACAACAAAATGAAGTTTATAGTGGAGGTAAAAAAGAAAGTTCATCGAAATGAGTTTGCTTTTTTGATTTTTTTAAATTCATTTAAGGTTCATGTGAAGTTTTTTCAAAATTAATTGGTTCAATGGGTAAAGATGTTTTATATGTTGGTGATCATATATTTGGTGATATAATTAAATCAAAAAAACAAAAAGCATGGAGAACAATGCTTGTTGTACCTGAACTTAATCATGAATTAAAAGTTTTTCATGATAAAAGACATTTATTTAATACATTAGAAGCATTAGATACAACAATCAGTGACTTACTTCGATCATTTGATATGACTTCAAGTCATGGACCAGAGGCTGTTTCAAAAATTAAACAAAAAATACAGGTTAAAGAAAAAACAGAAATTTATCATTAGATATTAGATTCGAGATTGATATTTAAGTTAAATACATAGACAATATGGATTCAATAGGATTTCTAAAGCATATTTTTCAAGAAATATTATGCTTTTCGATGATACAGGAAAGATCATTCCAAAGAAATCCATTGCTATGGTAACAATGGTTTTTGTATTAAAGAACATTGCAAAACTGCATGAGTTTGCACGAAACTTCAGTGTTCACAAATAAAACACTCCAACTTGATAAATATCATGGATCGCAAATTTTTAGCCGCAATGAACATTGTCGGATCATTCGTGCCTAGCGGATAGAAATGAGCAGATTGATCTTGTTTCGATCCGATTCGGATGAGCTTTGTCTCGTCTATCTTTAGTAACAACATCCAAATATTGAAACACGTCGCTAACCCATGGGATATCAACTGGTGGTAATCGATATACCGATAGTTGGTCTCTCACTGACAATCTATTGCCAGTACCATATCTTAACTTCATAGGAATATCGCTCATAGAAATTGTAATGAATTTATCGATTATTGAGTGCAGTTAAATAAGTTCGAAGTGTTCTTTTGTGGGAATGTACTAGTACTAGTCATTCGGATTCACCAGTCATGTTGGTGCTGATGCATTCCTATCCATTTGTTAATTATTACGAATAGCTTAAACTATTAGGTAAAGGTGAAAGAATTCTTTTTTTCTTGTACAATACGAAAGAATAGCTGGTTTTCTGTGATTTTCAGGATACAACAAAAGAGGAAAAAACAATCCGCAAACAAATTTGAAATTTGCATTGATCGTAATCATCAGATAGACAAAGTCATTGATGAATAATCAATATATTCATGTCACAGAACAACATTACATATCGAGAAACATAATAATGTTTTCTAAATGTTTAATGACGCTTAGAAAAAAAAACCTTGAATATTTGATTACTTAAAGTCAAAGAAATATATTTTTTATTATGATTGATTGTTTATTTTTAGCAATGTACTCATGAGCTTGACATGAATTTTGGTCTCTTGGGTTCTCTATTTCGAACAGGTACATTAAATTTATAAATTGATCTAATAGATTTTTTTATTTAAAAAAAAAAGGTTCTCGTCAAACTCATTTTGCTTCTCAAGTAACAAGATTTGCTGATATATATGCTTCCACAGCTGTAAATCTTGTTTATTATCCATTTTTTTATTTTTTTCGTGCTGTTCCACAATTAGTATGTAATTTTACGACTAATCATTAATTTTTATTATTTTAAATTGTTTTTCTCAGATGCCACATGAATCAACTGTTGATCCTGAAGAACCGATGCATTTTAAATCATGGGGCGATGAAAATCCTCAATCGAATATGCCTGCTCGTCCTCGTTCAATAATTTATGAAACATTTCCAAATATATCTCATTTGGATAATTCAATATCAGCAGTTTCATCAATACACACTCATCCAGATTTACCATTACATGTAACACATGATCATGATAATGATAGTGATCCAGATGATGATAGTCCATCAAATGTTGGTCAAGATTTAGACTCCGATCTTGAATCAAAAGTAACAAATACATCACCGAGAAGAAATGTGAAATCAACAGAAAAATAAAGAGACTCCGATCTGATTTCTTTCTATTTTGTCTTTTATTACAGTAGTTAGAATTTTGTTCTTGTTTTGTTCACTAAGTACTAAATGATCTAATGTGTAAGTGTGTTTTTCTCATCTGATAATATATCTTTATTTCGTTCTTTGAACAGTAATCCTTATTATTCATACAAATTAAGATGGAAGTCTAAAATTGATATTAAAACCTGAATATAAAATGATTCGATATTTTCTAACTAATCAATAGTATTGTTTATTGAGTTTGTAATCTTATCTTACTCATATGCAGCATATATTTAGGGTTTAAAATTACTAAAAGTTTTTAATAAAAACTTAACGACAATCATTTCATAGGGTGGGTGCGCGTCTGGGTGTGGGTGTAGACTACGGGTGTGTGAGTGTGTGTGTAGATCTACGTCTTTTGCTGTACTTTACAAACACTCACACACGCACACTCCAGTAATCATCTTTCTTTTCATTTCTCATCCGTTATTGATTTTAAGCATTAACTTTTCTGTTTACTGTCTTTTGCTTTGCAAAACAACAATAACATCGTAATAACTCTCCAATTTTTGCCTGTAAAAACTGGTTCCAATATAATTTTTATGAATAAATATATATATAAAGAATGCAAATATTTCTGGTGTATGTACGAGAAAATTAAGTATAACATTCAGCCGCATTCTAAACAATGTATTTGGATATTTTTTTCAACAGATGAAACATGCGTGAGGCCGTGCATACTGCACGGCTGTTGTCTCCTTTAAAGTATGACCTCAAAGCTTTAACCTTTCACGTAGTAAGGGCCATATAGACACTCCACATTGTGGGTATGAGTGGGTGATGATGTTGAGATCCGTCTTCTCTCTACCCACACCCACACCCAAAGGTACATGTCGAATATGGTGATCATTCAGTTCATGTACAAGTGCGTTAGATGTTCTTCAACAACCTAATTTTATAGGCAAATCAGGTACAGGAACTCTCTTCTCAATAGAAGGTTCAAAATGTGACAAGAATATTAGTCGACATTCATATTATAAGCATGAGGATGAAAAACTTCTTCTGTCAGGAACCTGTTTTCAAGTGTGCAGTCTAATGAGTCGTTCAGATAGCTGTCATATTGTTTATCTTCGTCAAGTAAAACCACTCCATGAAGTCCTTGTATCACTGTTTGCTGAGGAAACATCTGAACCAAATACTGCTCGTTTTCAACCGCCTTCGTTGATTGGACGATCATTCACTTCTGTTCGAACTCGATAGGTAACACACAAACAAACAAATGTTGACGACAGTTCGGATGATGAGCCGCCTCAAACATTTGGGCATTCAGTGTATGGAAGTCATTCGAACGGCAATGTTATAAGTGGTAAGTCAAATACCTAATCCTCAACAAAAGACAAAACAAGCAATGTTGTAATAATAAAAAGATCGCTGATACAGAAAAGCTTCAAAGGTTAGTTTCACTTTCCACGAAGATACATGTGTGAGAATATTTAAGAAGTTAATAATAATGTTTTATAATTAGAAAAATAAAATAATCTACGTATAACGCTCTTCAAAACAATTTCTTACATACTCTCTTTTCATTTCAATTTTCATGAATAAACTCTTTCCTGATTTGTTCTTTTTTTCAATAGGTTACATTGAAATCAGCTATATAGATCGTACGGACAATTCGATTGTTATCGAAAATACAAATATTTTAGGAAATAGTACCGTAAACATGATAGGATGGTCATTGAGAAAAACAATCAATAGTAAATGTACAAATGTTTACAAATTTTCAGACAATCGCAATGTTGAAAGTCGTGTACCCATTTGTATTATTCCTCATAATACAAGCAAGAGAGAATCGACCATAACACGTCGTGATGGTGAAATAATTGTTATTACTGATACTATTCCTACATAAGGAGTATGGAAACATGAGACAACACAATTTGTTTGATGATCAAGGAAACGAACAAACTATCTATATACAAAAGTTTACTTAAGCATTGTCGATAAAAAATGTGGTTTATAAATTGAAAGAAGCATCATCTTAATTGATGTAAAATCAATCTATTGTTCGATAATCTAAGAGTACAAGAATGCATTTTTATTTTCTGTTTAGTTTTTCCAAATAAAAAATGATTCACTTGATCGATTGTATTTCAAATATCTTTTCAAAACCTAACTCATCGTTTTTGACAGATCTCTTTCGATTGCTGCAATCATCATGGACTAAATTGTGACTGCATAAATGTTACACCATCTGTTTTTCACTACGGAGAAAAACATTTGCTCTACATGACACTCTTATTTGAGTATCATATGATCTCTAAAAAAATGACATTTTCATGATTAACTGAAGACTTCATCGAAATACTATCAAGTATTCTGCAAAATTCAACCATTTATTTATATTTTTTGGTTATAAAAAAGCATTCTATGTTTTACAAAGATTTTTATAGAAGTTTGGACATAGTGCAATCAAAGCAGCTATTCAAATATACAACTAACATATAAATATACAAAACATGCAGCCAGATTCTCATGCACACACCCATAAAGTAATTTCAACACTCACACTGTTAATTAGCACTTAAATAACTTAGAACCAAATTGATAATATATCATTTTCTATGTTTGCTTGATAGTCCATTCCGCTTAACACATATTTTAACCATTCCAATACCGTTTGAGCTTTGTGCTTAATTACGCTCGACTCAATACTTAGAAAGGACAATGAATTCAGTTCATTTATAAGTAATCGTATGATTGGAAAAAAATCTTTGTCCGACATTTGAATATGTAATACGTTAAGACGCCCATAGTTTTTAAAAGTATGAATAAATACTTCGATATTTTTTATATTTATTGTATCGCTCATCATTTCAGTTATAGTGAGATGTTGAATATTTTTGAATAAGTGACTATTTGCAAACATTAAGTTGACGATACTTTTGTTGGATAAAACTAAAAGATAGTTGAGATTTTTACCATTGATACTCAATGTAAAAACATCAGATTTGATGGCTTACCTGCCCAGCCGTTAAGCTCTAGTTTCGTTAAATTCGTAGTATTGCTAAGTAACTGGATCAAAAACTCTTTTGATGGTAAATTTTCTATAGTCAATGATTGTAATTTTGTTAATGATAACATCTTGTTCAAATATATCCAAACCGAGAGATACTCGGAAGGTTTCATATAGTAATGAACAACGCTACAATTTAAATCATTGTCATATCCATAGTTGTCTATATAGTTGTCTGTAAACGACAACGTTAAATGGCAAACATTAGGAAATAAAAAAGATGAAAAATATCCATGAAAACCCCGGAAAATCGTACCAAAATTCAATGTTAATGTTTGTACGTGAACATATCTATTGTAAATACCAGGAGACAATAATAATGGCTTTTCATCAAAAGATAACGTTAGTTTTCTTTTCATATATGGCGTTGTATAAAGTATACCATAATCAAAATAAACAAACCTAAATAAGAATCAAATTTGTAGTACAACGGTAAAGATGGCATGCTTGGTGCTTCAAAGACAGAAAATATCAAATCTTCGTAAACCGACTTTTGTTAAGTAACAATTGAAAGAGAAATAAGGGGTGGACCATAATAAATTGCAGTCAATGTTTCTAATGTTTTTATTAATTTTCCGTTCACAAGAAATATTCATTTTTATATAAAAAGATAGACAATTTCAAACTCTAGAAAATTGTGAAATTTGTTCTCCTTTTTGGTGCATATCTAAAGAATTCACTTTTACTCAATTCTGCAACTGAGAGCTTCTATTTTCTGCTTACATTTAAACATTAGTGCAAGTTTTTGCTGATTTAGATCACTGATAAAAAATGAAGTTTTTGTTACCAGTAGATAGAATTTTTTGCTCTATTCTTCGACAACCTTTTTAAGACCCTTAGTTTCGTTTCCCAGGAGAAAAAAAAACTCGGAAATTAGTGTAGTTCGAAATATCATTGTGTCATAAGCCAAATTTGCTCTAGGAAAGATTTGTGATTGTGTTTTAGGATATTGTGCTTTAAAAAAAGAACTATGTTTTTCTCAAATCATCGCTCGAGAGTTCCGACACAAAACTAAAGAAGCAGAATTTTGTATCATGCTTAAACATCAGATGCACGATTACTTAAAAAATTCCTGCATTTTGTCATATTTTTTCCCCGTCACAGTTGAATGATTTAGCTGATTTGCACCTTTCTAATTAGAAGCCTCCAAGAAAAACTTTTTTGAAAAACGAAACTCATAGTTTTGTAGAGCTTAAATTTCTTTATCTTTCAGTATATAAGTAACACTTGGGAATGGGCAAAAAGTAACAGCAAGAACGTTTAGTGTTACTACAAAGAGTTTGACTTATAATATGTGACCAAATAGCAGTCTGAGACAAACTCTTAATCGAAATTAGTTTTTCAGGTTTTTTTAACATTTCTTTTTCATATTAAGAGATACGAGTCTGATTCACATGGCGATATAGATAGTACGAGAGGCCGTCTATGTGATATATTATAGAACGAGAATGTCTGTTTAGATGGATTTTTCATAATTGAAATAAAATGAAAGAAAAAAAAGATATATCAATTGATACAGCATTTCGCGCTCGATTGTCAGAGTCGATCTTCGCCTCTAAAATTTGGTTTTAGTGAGAATAACCGAAAAACACGAAAAGATAAAATTACTTCCTACAAACGTCTTTACATTACAATATTTATGCATAATTCAAAACTGAACAAAATGCTGTATTTAAAATTCGAATATCACCGATTTTTCATGCTCACCTTATTGAACTAAAGTTTTGAGAAACATAATTAGCTTTTCTTTTTTAATTATTTCGATGAGAGAAAAATGCTGACAATTCTCACTAAGATTTGTACTTCTTAATATGAAACAGATATTGAAAAAAGGAATATTAAAAAAGCCTGAAAAACCAATTTCGCTTAAA